ACCACAGCATTTGGCACAAAGCGGACACTTACCAGAGTTTTTTTTTTGTAAAATTTTGTATCCATGCCAAGGACTTGGACATCACTATTATCGCCAATAAAGCATTAACAGCCACCATTGTTGCCTGCTCTGTAGGTGCCAATGCTGTGCCTTTGTGGAAATCACGTAATAACTTGCCGGTCTGCCTACACTTTGCCAAACCTGCTTGACTGCTTCCCCCCCCCCTCTTTTTTTTCTTATTTATTTATTTATTTATTTATTTATTTATTTATTTATAAAGATTTTATTTATTCATGAGAAACACAGAAAGAGGCAGAGACATGTGAAGCTCAGTAAATGTCTTCAGCCACCACACCTTGGAGTGATTTGTCAGGCAGTAGCAGGTAATTGGTGTAGCCTTCCATGCACACTTTTTATTCCAAACCCCAAATCTCCTTGCACGAGGTAAGAATTTGGAAAGGGTGATTGGCCATTTCTCTGCAATTCAGCACGCACTTCATGGGTAGACTCTTAGAAGCAAAGAGGAGCCGTGAGGCAAGGCTCAATGAGATCATGAGCTTACAGCCACATGTGTGAGCCCTGCCTCTGCCACTTCCCAGCAAGGCAGAACTTAGACAATATGTATCACTGCTCTGAACTTTGGTTCCTTCAGCCGTAGGATGGAGACCAAGGTGCCTACTAAGTTAGGGCTCTTTGGAATTCAGAGGAAGTGTATAGTAGCTGAATAAAATAAAAGGAACTCATTGAGTCACACAACTGAAAAGTTTGGAAGTGCACTTCAGGATAGAGGAATAGTAATCACTTAGATGAAACAATGTCATTCTCTCTCTCTCTCTCTCTCTCTCTCTCTCTCTCTCTGTCTCTCCTTCTCCAACCTTCTCATCCCTGGATTCAGTCTTCTCTCCATTCTTGGGCAAGATCTGAGGAAGGGTTCCCAGCAACTGCATACAGTGCATATCTTACCAGTTTAATGATCATCACGGAGAGATGGTGCCTCTTTTCCCTATAATTGCAGCAAAACCCCCAGGGCTAATGCTCACTGGCCAGCTAAGCTTACCTGTAAATTCCTTTCTCTCTGATTGGTCAAGCATGAGGTACATCAGGGACAGGGGTCACCTTGAGCATGGACAGCCACTCAGAGAGGGCTAGTGTCCCAGGAAAAACTCTGGCGATTGTCAGGTGTTATTAGAGGAAAGTGGCCAGGTGTCAGGCAGGCATACACAGCATTTGCCCCCAGCGTGTGTGACACAGGGCTCTCACAAGACCCAAAAGAGACACCGAGCACATGTGAGCAGTGATGTCAACTTTGATGTCTGACTAGTGGTGCAGCTTTGTCCCCTGGAAGCTCTTGATTCATACTTTCTGAAGGAGAGGCTGAATATGTTTAAGCAAAGGAAGAGAAAATGTTTCTTTTGGGCTCCCAGACAGTCGTGATTCATTCTTTTCATCTGACTCAGAATATAGTGTAATTAAGCCAGGCAGGTGATGAATATCACAAAAGCACTGCTGGGTCTTAGCATCCTTATGAACAAGAGGTTTCCACTACAAAACATCCCCTTGGGCTCTTTGGGTCAGGGAAACAGGTTTATAAATCCATTAGATCAATAAAAGTGTGTGCCCAAAACTGTACTATGAAAAATCCATGGAGAACAAAAGAAATTGCTGCGAATGAAATGCACATTGAAATGTACATATATTTTCAATATTTTTGTCCAGAGTTTCTCCTATTTCCTCTTTTTTTTCTACTGGAATAGAATTTCTTTATGGACAGTGTCTGTATCATTTGGAGATCTTAAAGTACTTTGGGGAGCATTTAGTCGCATTTAGGAATGGATTTGAATTTCTAACATGTAAGAATAAAGCCCTATTTGGCAAGAGTGATGCCAAGAAATCTGAGGGGTCTCACAGAACAGCGAGCTTCACACTCTGATCACACACTCAGTTCAGTAAAAAACTTTTGGCATGCCCTTGCAACACATGTATACTTATGAATAAATCATACTTTTGTATTAGGTATGACACTGTGTGCTCTATGAAACATGTAAAATAGACACTGTAACTGGTGTGAGAGAAAATAGAGATAGAAATCCCTACCTTTTCTTCCTCCATCTTGAAGGACAGTCTGGAATTGGCTCATGTGGCTGGAGGCTTTACAAGTCCAAAATCTGAGGGGGTGGGGGGTGGGGAGATCGACAGGTTAGAGACCTAAGGGAGACCTGCAAAGCCCAGAGGCAGAGTGCTGACAGAACTACCTATTGCTCAGGGGAGGTCAGTCTTTGTTCTAGCCAGCCCTTCAGCTGATTTGGTGAGGCCCACCCACACGCGGAGGATGATCTGCTTTACTTACAGTCCACTGATTTAATTATTAATCACATCCAAAAAACACCTACACTGAAACATCCAGAATAATGTTTGACCAAACATCTTGGCACTGTGGCTCAGCCAAATTGACACAAAATTAACCATCAAGACTCCCGTGAAAAATGTTCAGTTCTAGCAGATAATTATAGATCATATGGAGCCCACTGATTGGTATTTCATGTGCAAGGGAGATAATAAGGAATTAGAAGGTGTTGGGTTGAATACACGTGAGGCTCTTTGGCTCAAAATACAAGAAGCATGGGCAAGAATAGAATAGAACATGGTACACTGTCTCAAGAGAGCAAGTTGGCTCATGTATCCTCTATTCCAATACATGTATCCATTAACCCACAGATGTCAGACCTGGAAATTCCATTCAAAGATGCTCAGTGCAGTGTTATTTATGAGACAAAAAAAAAAAAAGAGGCCATCTGTAAGGGGAGTGATTTGATAAATTATGGTATATCTTTTAATGGAATATTCTAAAGTTCAAAAAAAGAGCAAAAAACACTAATGTAGGGGTTCCTGGGTGGCTCAGTTGGTTGAGCATCTTCACGAAGCCCAAGTGATCTCAGGGTCCTGGATCGAGCCCTGCATCATGCTCCCTGCTCAGCGGGGACCCTGCTTCCCCCTCTGCCGCTCCCCCTGCTTGTACTCTGTTACCCTCGCTCTGTTAAATAAATAAATAAAATATTTTTTAAAAAACACTGATGTAAAAACTTCTTCATCGTAATTATTAAGTGACTATATGTATATACATATATAAATATATATACCCTTTACATGATATATGATTATTTCCTGTATTCAATTAGTGAAATATATATATAGGATTATTTGTCATGGAAATTTCCAGAAAGAACCACAAGAAACTGCTATTAGCAGTTCACTCTAAGATACTCACTTTTCACCTTGGACCTGCTTCAAGTATTTTCCATAACTTGCATATAGATGGCTTTTTAATTTCTTTTAATGGCAGAGATTTCAGTTTGTACATAAAGTGATTGAAGCAATGTTTGTCAGCTGTGAGGTGTATGCTGGCAATATTCTCTAAATAAATCTCTAAAGAGCCCCGCCATGTGGCTGTGGGGGGGATGGGGAGACCCTCAAACTGCAGGGCTGGCCAGCCAGGCAATCTCTGTAAAATAGGTGGAGAAGATGGCAGAGCAGCCAAGGACTTGCTCTTGAGAGCACAGTGGGGCAGGAGGCCACCTGCAGGGTGTCACAAACTGGCCCACTGATGCCAGGAATCTGCGTGCATCCAGGGCTCAGCCAGGGCTTGGAACGCTGAGCTGGGCATGCGGTGATAGAAATGCCTCTATCCTAAGAGCTTCATTGGCATCAGGGCATTGAACACTGACAACAATACACAGAGCTGGAGCTCTTGTTCTCCTACCTTACAGATGAGGAGACTGAGGCAAAAGTCAACAAATGAATGAATGAATGAGTGAACAAATGAATGAATGAGTGGATGAAGCTACCCCAGGGTGGATCCATCTAACATAACTCTGGGGAAGACAAGCACGTATACTCCAGACTTGGTCTCGGATGCTTGTAGGTGAGGCAGCCAAACCCTCAGGCCGGAGAATTGGCTCCGGCTCCAGAGCAATCTGAGCATGGGACCCACAGGGTCCTCGGAGCCCACACGTGGACCCAAGGTTCATGACCCCTCTTCTGAGGGCGGGGTGGGGGGATGCTTCCCAGATCTAAGATTCTAGGATTCTATGATAAGTCATGACATCCCTGACCCTTTGAAGTATATAAGCTTAAACCTCACAAACACACACAGACAAATTAAAATCATTCTGTATGAACCATCCAGTGTCCATTTCACAAACAAAAGTGCATCTGGAACAATAAACTACTGCTTGGTGCAAAGTAGGGTGTTTTTGTTATCTGGCACTTGGGAGTATTGCCAGTTGTATAGTCAGGGTGACCACGTGATTCTTTGTCCAAATGTGGACACTTTGGGCATGAAAGGAGCACCGTCAATACTTACGGTGAGGCAAGAGCCGCCTCCTGGGCATGCCCCGGGCCAGCCGGGACTTCTCATGTCAGGCACAATGAATTTGTATCAAATCACATCTGTTTGTGGCAAGCGGGCAGTGGCTGCTATTCCAGGAGCCCCGGGGCAGAGAAGAGCCACCTGATCATCCGCCCCTCCATCCCAGCAGCGCTTTGGCTAATTCCTGTCCCTGCACTTTTGAACCTGCAGTGCATTTCCTGTGTGCATACACAGTGTAGCTTTGTGCCTGGCCTTGGGTGGCCTGAGGCCAGAGAACAGCTCGGCTCCAGACTAGTGGTCAATACCCATCAACAGGCACTCTGCTCTCTTGTTTGCCTCTCACCTTCTTTCCAGTCCTGGCCCTGGGCTCTCCAAAAGGTCCTCCTAACCCCCTGGCACTCTCTGCTGTTTACCAGATCAAAGCTCAGAGATCCCAAGGGCTGGCCACAGTGAAGGTCACTTGTCCCAGGGCACCCACCCCTCAGCCAGACTGAACATCATTCAGGATGCTGGGGCGGGCATGAGTTGAAATTTAACCATCTGGATCAGGGGGTTGGGTGAGTTTCTACAAAAAGAGGTGAGCCAAGCCCATCGCATGGTCAGCCCCATCAAAGTGAGAGCAGATAGCCAGAAAATCATCCTCTTTTATTGGGATCTGTGGGGAACACATCCAAGATGCTAAGGACCCCGGGGTTGGGCAAAAGCCTTTGGAAGTCCACTGGTTTCTCCACCTCATCCAAGCAGACATGGGGGACCCTCCACAGTCATCTGCTAAGGCTGGAGCGATTGTGCTCACAAGGTCCCTGTGCACAGAGACCTCGGAATGATGCCTGTAAGTAGACCTTCAGTTTTTCCCAGATGCGGCTTGACTCTTGGCTGATTCTGTAGTGTCTTCCAAAATGGGAGGCAGTCAGACCAGAGTGCTTGGGTTCAGGTTTCCACTTGTCTCTTTTCCCGTGGATGATCTTGAGCATTCTGTGGGTGACCTTGAGCAATTCCTTTAACCTCAGTTCCATGGGGCCATCAAGAGGGGGAGATCCTCAGAAGAAGGTTAAGTAGCAAGTGCCCCCCAAGATGAGCTGTTGTTAGGAACATGCAGCCTGGCTGCAAGACTCCTCCAACAGAGAATATATTCAGCAAACATGCAATAAATAAATGATCCAGCCAACTCCATCCAAAGACTGCCCCAGGTCAGCCAGTCACACTGTGGCAGCACCCATCCTCAGCGCCCTGTGACCTTGGACTCATGCCTCGCTCTTTCTGAGTCTCAGATTTCTCCTTTGTCGAAAAAGAAAAAAGACTGGCTGATAAGGTTACTCCTGGTTTTCATTTCTGAAGTATCTGCACTTTCCAGGTTTGGATGGTGGAAAGAGCATGGGCTTCAGAACCAGTGGCTCCTGAGTGTGGGCACTTGGGACAAGTGACTTGTCAGAGGTGAGAGCAGGGCCAGCGGCTTTACCCCCTGAGCCTCAGTCTCTTCATCTGTAAAGAGAAGGACTAGATGTCGCACGGGGTCACATGGAGATGGAATGGCATGTATAGAAAGCTGGCTCTCAACCAACATTATGGACTCTGAGAGCAGGTCCCCAGACTGACAACAGCAACACCCCCAGGAGCCTGCTAGAAATGCAAATCCTTGTGCCCTACCCTAGACCCACCTGCAAATTTCAAAGCACACAGTCACTCAGAAAGGCCCTCCCACCTGTACCCCCTCCTGCCCCAGGTCCCAGAGGCCACTGCCACATCAAGCTGAGCTCTCAGCCTTCTGACACATTCCTCCGTGCACAGAGAATGTGTCTACACATTCACAAGACTCTTCGAGAAATAAAAAGTGACCCCACGGATACATGTTGGTCTGCATCTTGGCTTTCTCCACTCTCAACTGGGGATCTGGGGATATCCTCGTAAGTGTCCTCGGCACCTATCCCCTCTTTTATACTTGGTGCGACCATGAAGAGCATCAGACCCCATAGACTGGGATCCTGGCCTTACCATTATGGGGCTGTGTGCCCTTTGGCATGTATCTTAACCTCTCTGAGACCCAGTCTCATCGCCTATAGCAGGTGGGTAATCACAGTACTTATCCTACAAAGCTGTTGGAAGTAGAAATGAGGTCAGGGATGGAAAAGCTGAGAACAGCACCTGGCACCTTGCAGACAACGGCCACGTGCTAATTGTTGTTATGGTCACCTCGGGCCACCATGTGGGTGTCTCTGTATTTAACCATTGCCCTGTTGGAGAACATCAGGTGGTATCCAATTTTTGAATATTACCAACCACATTCTCACACATCCTCACACACGTGTATGGGACCGAGCAACATTCTGTGCTGGGCGCCTAAATCAGTTCCCGCCGCCATCTCCCAGCTACGTTCAGGGAAGCCAAGGGCTCTGCAGTTCCTTCAGAGCTCCATGACACACAGAGCTCCATGACACACAGCTCTATCTGCCAAACAGGGAAGGCTGGAGCTTCCTGAAACATCGATGCCTCCAGGTTAGTGTTTTGTTTATTGGTGTCCAGCAGTGCATTTCCCTTGGGGGAAAAAGAAATTTTGTTCCTAAATACAATGCACCCCCTTAGCCTTCGGGGATCTGTTCCAGGACCCCCAGCAGGTGCAGGAAAGCATAGATGGTGTCAAACTTTATACCAACTGTTTTCTCGTATTCACACATACCTAAAACGAGTTTGGTTTATAAATCCAGCACCGGAAGAGATTGACAGCACAACTTACACAAAATAGAGCAATTGTAACACAGACTGTAGTAATGCTATGTCACTGTGGCCTGTGTCTCAAAATATCTTAGTGTTCACCTTTCTGGCACTGATGTGAGATGATAAAACGCCCACATGTTGAGATGAGGCGAGGTGAATGGGGTGACCTAGCATTGTGGTGACCTAGTGTTAGGCTGTCAGTGACCGGACAGTGACCCAACAGTGTGGCAGGAGGAAGATCACCTGCTTCGGGTCCGCGGTGGACCACCAGCCACCGAAAGTAGATAGTGACCCTTTGGGGAAGAAGGGCCTTCTGTGTCTCTGGAAATCACCGCGGCTTGGCCTAGAGAGACAGGCCACGGTGCTTGAGGAGGCTCCAAAATCATCCTGGTCAGGTGTTCTCTGGCCATGCTCCAGGACATGCCGGGGCTCCCTAACACTAGTGATGTGCATCTCTTCTTAAGCCTGTGATTGGTGGCAACCACCCTGGCAGCTGGCTGCTGGCCATGGCAGGAACATTTACACTCTGGCAATGGCAGACACCACCTGTGGGGACGTGCTATTCCTCGAGAGAGCTGGTTGTTGCACCACTGTGTGTCCCCGGACAGTCCCACAGGTGCTTCTCTGTTGTGCATCTGCCAGGACGCTTGGCTCAGCCCGGCCACAAGGTGGCCCCAGGTCTGCCCAACATGGTTCTCATCCTCCCCTGCATTTGGGCCAGTACCTGACCCACAGAAGGAGCCTTAAGTATGTGTTGAGTGATCAACAAGAGGATACTATTGATTTGGTTAAGTTAATTTAATATCTGCTGGATACGTGTACGTGATCACTTTTATCACTTCCCCCAGAGACCTGAGATGGTTGAGGCGTAGACTTTGTGGCACAGAGGCATCACTGTGGAGGTCCGCAGCCCCCATGAGCAAGCGTGGGAAACCTTTTCAGGATTCGAGCAGCCTCTCCTCACTGCATGCAGTGATGAACAACATGCTTTTACTCAGGGGCAGAGACTATGTTCAAGGTTGTTGGCAGCCCCTTGGCGCAGCTCGGCACATGTAGCCTAACATATGCCCTCCTCCACACCACACACCTCTGTGTTGGGGGCCAAGGTCAGCCTCTGCATAAGACCAGAGCCACCTCCATGACATCCAGTGGCTCCTGAGTTCTGTGTCCACGTCAGGCCCTGTTCCATCCCAGTTCCCCATAGTGAGGCTGGAGGCTGGGGGTATGTGAGGCTGTACCGTGTGTTAAAAGTCACTTTGCATCAGATGTGGTCATGACCTGTGCCAGCTCAGTGGGACTTTGTGGGAGGACAGACCCACAAAGACCCAGGGCTTCTGGTCTTAGAGCAGAAGGAGCTGGGACAGAGGACATGCAGCCCCGAGTCTGTTGTCATCCATGCATCCATCATGAGAAGGAGGCCAGCAGCAGTGCAGGATGTGCCTGCAGAGCACAATGAGGCATCATTTTGGGGTGTGGGAAGGGCCCTGCATGACAGGTGGCAGCATCTGTGCCCAGTGGGCGTATGCTAGTCGGGAGCCTACAGTCAGTCTGTGCGCTATCTCGTCTGGTCTTGGCCAACCTGGCTTTGCTGCATATCCTATTCTCATGTTTACTGATGCAGCGGCTAGGGGTGGGCGGGGAGAAGAAACGAACCTGCCCCGCAGCTCAGAGAGTGAGGAGGGAGCATGAACACGTCTTCCCTGTGTGGACTATCTGGCTCCACTTTAACATCAAGAAACATCACATGAGAATCTGCATTCTTATCACCTCTTGGAAGATGTCAAGATCCCATAAGAGCACTTACACTCCCTCCATATGTGTCTCCCCGCTGCCCCCCCAGCCCTGAGGCGAGAGTCATGTGGCTACGTGGCCTGAGCATCCCTAGTCTGCACCCCAGGTCTGGAGGGACACGGCCAAGCCCGATACCCCAGAATAGCCCCCACTTCCCTGATCCCCAGAGAGCCTGGGCTCTCCCTGGTGGGTGTTTCTCGCCCACCGTTCGCCCAGGTGGTCACCTCCCCATTGTGCACAGTGGGCGCCCCTTCGCCCAATGCTCTGGCTCCTGGCTCTGCCCCCCACAGCTCACCCTCAGATCCATGTATCACTTATCTTTCCTTAACGTTCCCACATATGGAATGTTCTCTAACAACACATCCACTTTACTAGGGAAGCCAGACACACCAATGTAATCGTGGCATCTCAGGCCTTGGGCGGCCGATGGCAGAAGGGTTGGGGGGGTCCTCGTCCTGGGTCTAAAAGGAACAAAGAGAAACAAAACCCTGCCAGGCCAGGAGGCAGCCCAAGGAGCAGGAACCTTAAGGAAAGGGCAGGTAGCCACTCTGGCTTAATTTTCTGGCCCCTGGAGTGGTTTCTCCTTCCTCCTTGTGGGAGAGGCTGAAGGAGGAGGTGTGCATTGGCCTCAGCATCAGGTGCATGTGAGGCACGGGGGAGAGGTCCCAAGCTGCCCCACACCACCGGTCCTGCCGCCCACCGGCCTCCTCATCTGCAGCCGCATCATCCACAGAAACCACGCTGCCCAGCTTCACCTTCCCATCCTGACCCTGGAGCCCAGTGGGATGCAGCCTGGTGGGGGGCAGGCGGCACAGGCTTCCTGTGACCACGCCTTGATAACAACCGTGGATCAAAACAAGATCAGATGGCGCCGGAAAGTCGGTGTTGGGGGACGCTCCAGAGGGGAGATGGAGCGAGGGCCCCGCCTGCATGGACAGATCTGCTGGGCGGCCTGGGGCCCCAGGCTCCAGGTGGGGCTGTCTCCAGGAGGGCTGTCTCCTCTGGGGGCTCATTTGCGAGGGCTGCTGCCTCCCCATGAGGTGCCAATACCAGGTCAGTGAAGGCCTCCTCTTCCCTCTCTGCCCCAGCGCACCTACTCTGGAAGGGCCTGGCCTCTGTGCCGGGGGGTACCCGGCAGTCCCCCATCAACATCCGCTGGAGGGACAGTGTCTACGACCCGCGGCTGAAGCCTCTCCAAGTGTCCTATGCCGCGGCCAGCTGCCTGCATGTCTGGAATACCGGCTACTTCTTCCAGGTGGAATTCGACGACTCCACTGAGGGGTCAGGTGAGCCTGGGCCGGGCACAGCCTGAGAGTGGGCTATGGGGCGAGCAGAGAAGGGGCCAGGGCTTTACCGACACACAGTGTTCAGGGGGCAGGGAGGTGCCACTGAGGTGAAGGATGATAATACCCACCACCGACATTTGCACAGCTTTACTGGATATTCCAAGGGCTGGTCAGGAAGAGTCAAAAGCCCATAGGAACGTACACATATGACACGTCACAGAGAACAGAGCAGGTGCGGGGAGAGGGTGAGGTGGCCGTGAGGCCTGAAAGCAGAGCCAGAAGGAAACTGTGCCAACGACTAGCTGCGCATCAGAGCCTGGTACCCTCTCTGGTTCCTGCCCATAGGATGCCCAGCTGTTGGGAGGGAGAACAGGAACACAGGACACAGTGGGGACTGAGCAGGAGGCTGGCTGCCCTGGTGGCAGGGGAGGCCGTGCGGGCAGCCCCAGGAGCCTCCGACCCCGACCGGGCCCCAGCACCCTGCCACGGGCTTCCCGCGGACCCTGCCCTCAGAGGCTCAGCAGGACCCTCACCAGGTTGGGGAGGGAGGCTCCTCGGGTCTGGGAAGGCTGCTGCTACACAGGGCTGCTGCTGGATTCCGCCTGGGGTTCCTGAGCATCTGTTGGGACCACCGTGAGCCTTGTTAATGCTGGGCGTCTGTCTTCCTTCTTGGAGCGGGGATCACAGTCCCCAACGGCAAACAGTGCCTACCTGACCAGCCCCCCACGAAAACCTGAGTTCCGAGTGTCACTTCCCACATGTTGTCACAACTGGTTGCTGGGGGGACAGTGTGACCCCCATAGAGAGGGCTCTGGAGGCGGGTACCTGGGTTCCTTCGGACAGTGCTGCCTGCACCGTTTCCCTTTGCAGATCTGCTGGTGTCATTTCACTGTAATAAATCTTAGCCACACGTACGGCTGTGCGCTGAGTCTTGCAAGTCCTCCCAGGGAATCTTGGAGCCTTTGGACCTCCGACCCGGCCCCCAGTGCCAGGTCCTTTCTGGGCCAGCCCTCAGCCCATCCCCTTCGCACACCCAGTTGTCTTACTCTCTCACCCGCTGCCCTGCGAGGATGCCCTGCGAGGATGCAAGCCCCACGAGGCCAGGACCACTATTTTACACTGAGCATCACAGGTGCTTAGTCAGTTGATGGATGAAAATCAATGAAACGTTAAAAGAGCAAAGGAGTCTCCGTTTCTTCTCCTGGGAGTGGAGAGCAAGACACCCATCTCAAAGGCTGTCGGGGAAGAAGTGAGACCACCCCAGGGAAGCGCCCTGCATCCCACAGCATCACCTGGATCAGCTCCCAACAGGGGCACTGACCCGGAGCCCACCTTTCTATGTTGTCAACAACAGGATGCTGGAACAGGAACTCACGTTCAGCCTTGCTCTTGTGCCCGTCACTGGGGCAGATGCAGAGTCTCTGAACACACGCTGCAGGGCTTTCAATCTGCTTCTCCCGTCCAGGGAAGGTCCGCCCAGCCCTGCATCTTGGCTTTGTCAACATGACCCTGACACCCATGCTTGCACGTCCACCCATCAGAACTGCGCTGTCCTAGTAGACACTCGGTGTTCCCCAGCCTGGAAAACATCTGAGCAGGTGCAGAGCCCACTCCGGGCACCCTGAACCACATGCAGGCCACGTGCCAGCCTTCTTGGAGTCCAGGGAGAGGCTGGATGGTACTTCTCAGACAGCGGGGCTCATTATTCCAGGGACTCTCCCCTTGTCCCACAGGTAAAAAGGAGCTGCCTTTCCTGAGCAGCTGCCTGCGTGCCCAGAGCTGCTCACAGCGGCTCCAAGTTGGTCTTCACAGTGACCCTCAGGGATGCTGCTCACATAGGGCTCACTGAGCGCCAGGGACCAGAGCGCCAGCTCTAGCAGACGTTTGCACAGAGGAACTTCTTTGAGGGATAAAAGGGCACAACTGCATACCCAGATCTGGAAAGTGCAAGGACCAGCCCAGTGCAGGGATACACATACTTATTTATTCAATGTGCCAACTTTTCTTCTGCCCTTGTTGGTCTGTTCCAAATTCAAATTCCCAAGGAGCAAACTAAAATTAGGTTTTCAGGTTTGATGTGGTTTATATCATTTTTTAGAATTTTATGCAGCAATTTTATAAGATTGAATAAAAAAATAATAGCTCCTGGGGCACCTGGATGGCTCCATAGTCCAGTTGAGCATCCGACTCTTGATTTCAGCCCAGGTCATGATTTCAGGGTCATGAGTGAGTTCCAGCCTGCAGGAGAGCTTGCCAGCTCCGTGTTCAGGGGAGAGCGGAGAGTGTGGAGCATGCAGAGGATGTTCCCTCCCCTCTGTTCCTCCCCCGCCCCCCCCCACTCTCTCTCTCTCTCTCCCTTCCTCTCTCAAAAAAAAAATTATACTTCCTGAACTTTTAATTGCTTAGTTAATAGTTATTGAATATACAATAATTTTGAAAAAAGCAGATATGGTTGGGGATGAGTTACCATAGAATTCATGCTCTTCCCATAGGATTATTATGTGTCATTATGGGTCTTACTGATAACTATGTAATGGATTTATTTTCCTTTAAGTCATAAAATATGGAAAGCTTTGAATGTTACTTTGGACTTCTGTATTGTGTATTGTTGAGGTACATTTGACAGAATAATCGACATTCCCGGGGAACGGGTCTGGGGCTGAGCATGGCATTCATCCCACCCTCCATCAGGGGAGCCCCTGGAATGCTGACCAACGTCCATGCTCTGGGCACTGGTGGTCACGGGACATGGTGATGCTGTTGCTAGAAGGTGGGAGGTTCTCGGGACAGACAAGTGAACACCATCTTTAAAAGGTACCTCCATCTCGTGAATAACAAACAGCACAGCACCAAACAGATACCATCGAGAGGCTCGGTGTCCTCCCTCCACTCAAGGAGAGACCAAGACTGGGGGAAGCAGCTCACTCAAGGTCAAGTGGCAGCATGTGAAGGGTCAGGTTCAAGCCCGGTTCCTGCCATGGAAAGCTCCCATCGTGTCACCACATCCATCCTTTACCACCAGCCCCTTCTCCTATCTACACTTTGTTCGCAATAACTTGAGCCATCCTTGCAACGATTGTGTGAGATGGGTGTTAGCTCCCATTTTACCAATTAAGGAAAATGACAACGGGATTCTCTGCCCTCTAAAGAAGGAAATTTTAGGAGTGTGAACCTACTCTGGAAAAAAATCTGCACCCAATATCTGCAGAGACCAGGTGTGAAGCCTTAGGCGCTGACCCATGCACTAGCTAGGACATGGGGAGAAGGTTCTGGGCTTATGGTCAGGTCCCCAGAGAGCCAGCAAGCTGCTTGGGGTAGTAGCCAAGCCCATGTCCGGTGAGTGCACCCCAGTGGAAGAGCCAGGGGACACTGGGATCAGCCTGGGACACCCATCCCTAACCCACCAGCAAGAAGCCCACACTCAACTTTCCTGACAGGTGGAGCAGAGACATATCTGTGGTGCTTCCAGGGTGAAGTAGCTGCTGTCATGTTTGTAAGGGCATCTTAGAACATGTGTGTCTTAGACCCTAAATGTTTCCATATCTCATGGGGGCTCAGTGTCAGATCTGCAGGTCATAGTTATCCCTAGAATCACAGAGCAAAGCCTCCTTTTGGTTAAGAATTTTAGCCTCTTGAATTTTTACCCAAAGTATAGCTCATAGAATTGGGCATGGCCAGTCCAAGCAGCCCCCTCTGCTTCAGTGACCAGTCCAGGGGTAGGCGTACAACTCCAGTCAGACCACTGAGAGCCAGCATTCTCCTGGGACATGTTGGAAGATAATCCCTTCCTGTCTGTGTTGTGCTGTAGTCAGCTACAAGCCTGGGCCCCTGGTCTTCAGGGAAGAGCAGAGCCAAGAGGTGGAGAAAAATTGAGGCCTGAAGCCATTGTTGGAGCCTCTAAATGCAGCTGTGCCTAAGGCCAAACCGTCCCTGGACCAATAAATCTCACTTTTTAGCCTTCATCAGTTTGATTAATGATTCCATCCCCTGTTTACAAGAGCCCTAGAACAGAAGACCAAAAACAGTGGCTGAGTTGAGAGAGAAGAAGTAGAAAGGATGCACCTGGAGGATTGGCAGCCTCATCCTTGTGCTTTCTGCCCAAAGGCAATAAATACGGTTGAGTCTGGGAGGCCCAGGATGGAGGGGACACTGCGCCTGACCCCCAGAGGTGGGACCTCGGAGCGCGGTGCTGGAAGACTCCAGGTCTGTCCTCCAGGAAGCCGAGCCCACGGGAGCCTGGCCCTTCCAAGACTGGCTAGTAGACGACTGGTAAATATCAGGAAACTGGCCTCCAAGGACTTGGGGGAGGGACAGGAAGCCACTTGTAGCATTTGCCACTTTCCCTGGTGTAAATACTCCCACACAGCCGGCGTCAGTCTCCCAACACCATCACAGATCCCCAGGGACACGTTCTCTGTACTGGGTAAGACTTCTCTCTGACTTGCGTGTGGCAGAGGCTCAGCTCAAGCTGGCTTAAGCAAAGAAGAGGGTGAGATCCTGAGAAGTCCTGAGTATGGCTGGGTCGGGTAGTGGAGGAGCCACGGAAGGAATGGAAGGAGTCAAACGCAAAGCGGGGGATCTGGATCCTCCCTGTGGGCTCTGCTTGCCCCTGCTGGAAACATCCCGGGCCGGCAAATCCCAAATGGGAGCAAAGTTGGGGCCTGCTGCTCTGGTTCACCCTCCTGATCAAGTGGCTCAGAGAGACAGCGCCTCTGCCGCGACAATGGAAGCTCGGGCCTCAGAGCGGATCCACAAACCACAGCGTGGCCCCGGCAGCCCATCATGGTGACTCGGGACGAGCCCGCCCTGGAGCAAAGTGCCTGCCCAGAAGTGAGGGTGGTCGGGGCTGGGACCTGAGGTGCACGCTGCTGACCCTGGGTTGACCGCGGCCCACCTCGGACACAAGTGGCTTTCAGAGTTCAAGACTTTTGCGCCCTGCTGCAGCCAGGCCTCTGTGTTGACCCGGTCCCGACCCCCACTTTTTGGCTTCTCCACCACCT